CTTTCTTTCTTTCTTTCTTTCTTTCTTTCTTTCTTTCTTTCTTTCTTTCTTTCTTTCTTTCTTCTTTCCTTCCTTCCTTTCTTTCTCTTTCTTTCTTTCTCCTCCCTGTCCTCCCCAACCCCATTTCCCCATGAAAACTTCCCAGGCCTCACTGGGCCTTGGGGCCAGTGAACTTGCTGTCCAAGAGCAGTATCTCAATAAAACTACCTTTAATAAAACCGAATCTGGCTTGAACTGGCTCATTCCCACTGGCAAAGAAATAACCTATCAATAAGGTTGATAATAATTATCACAAGCTATAACATTAAAAAAAAAAAAACAAACAAGCAATTATAATTAAAAAGAAATGGGCCGGGCGGTGGTGGCGCACGCCTTTAATCCCAGCACTTGGGAGGCAGAGGCAGGTGGATTTCTGAGTTCGAGGCCAGCCTGGTCTACAGAGTGAGTTCCAGGACAGCCAGGGCTACACAGAGAAACCCTGTCTCGAAAAACCAAAAAAAAAAAAAAGAAATGGACTAGCCGGGCGGTGGTGGCGCGTGCCTTTAATCCCAGCATTTGGGAGGCAGAGGCAGGCAGATTTCTGAGTTCGAGGTCAGCCTGGTGTACAGAGTTCCAGGACAGCCAGAACTACACAGAGAAACCCTGTCTCGAAAAAACAAAAACAAAACAAACAAAAAGAAAGAAAGAAAAAGAAAAAAGAGAGAGAGAAATGGACTGAGCTAGGTGTGATAACCACCTTTAATCCCAGAACTTGGATGCAGAGCTGCCAGATCTTTGTCGATTCCAGACCAGTCTGGTTATACAGTGAGTTTCAGGCTAGCCAGGAAGAAAGACCTTGTCTCAAAAAACAACAAAACAATTCAAAAATATATTTAGGGGGAGGGGGTAGAAAAATGGCCAAGTAGGTAGAGCCATAACAAGTAGGAAAAGCAGGATTTGAATCCCAAGAACCTATGTATACCAGAGTCAAGATTCTCTAGAGGAACCGAGTTGATGGAATGATACATAGTAAAAGAGTGAGGTGGGTCGGATTGTACAGATATTTGCATACATGTAGGGGATGTGGAAGTCAACCTTAGGTGTCACAGGCTCCTGCGACTCCTTAGCACTCCTGATCTGCCATACAGGGCACTTAATCTAAGAGGGCTCCTGGAGCACCAGTGAGACAGCAAAAAGGAACCGAGGCCAGGGCAGAGGTCTTGGTCTTCACAGAAGTGTAAACAGGAGGATGCTCCTCCCACTCCTTCTGAGTAACCTCATCAGGCAGGGCTTTCTTTGGTGCGCGGTGATAATGTGGTGAGATACGACTGGCCAAGGATTTAGGGGCTTAGGATTGGCTCAAACACCAAATATGAGCTTATGCCCAGTGTAATAAACTGAGATCTGCACTCAGATGTTGGTCTCTTGAATCTGTTTTCCCCCGAAATCATCACGTGACTCTGCTACCTTTTACTCCTGATCCTCAATCCCCAACCTATATGTAAAGGCCTGACAACCTAAGTTCAATTCCAGGATCCCCGAGGTGGCAGGAGAGAACATTAATTGTACAAGTGCACAGCTGTACCTGGTTTAGAGATTTTTATTACTCAGAACATTCTCTACGATGTTTTCTTGTTTATAGTAGTTAATCTTATACATCAACTTAAGTGGGTCAGGCTCCCCAGATATTTGGCTAATATTATTCTAGATGTTTTGGTGAAGATCGTTTTTTTTTGTTTTTTGTTTTTTTTTTTGAAACATTCTTTGTCTCTTGCTCTCTCTTATTCCCCTCGACCCAGCGCCTGCAGGTTCGCCGTCCCTTCTCCCCTCCCCCCTTCCCTTCCCCCTCTCTCCAAGTGATCATGGCCGGCCTCTACTCCTCTCTGCTCTCTCTCTCTCCTCTCTCAATAAACTCCTCCTCGTAGGGGAAAAAAAAAAAAAAAGAGACAGATTCTTGCTTCATAGCCCTGGCTGGCCTAAAATTCACTATGTAGACAAATACTACTCTCAAACTCAGAAAGATTTGATTCCCAAGTGCTGGGAGGTGTACCACCATTCCCCTCCCCCCAAATCCCTTTTAAAATAAGGTTAGTATTTAAAGAGTGAAGGTATAACTCAGTGGTAGGATGGTTATCTAGCATGTGCAAGGCCTTGCATTTGGTCTCCAGCACCCCGGTGCCCCCTAAATTGTACTTCTGCTGAGCAGAGTGTCCATCACAACATGAGAACTCATCTCATTAAGTTGAAGGTCTTTGGTTTTCTACATGGGGTAAGGCTGAGCTCACTTCCCCCACCCTTACTGGATATGTTCAGCAGGTTTTTCTTTCCTTCCTTTTCTGTAATGATTTTGGTTCATCTCTGTTTTTTTTGTTTTTTTTGCTTTGTTTTAGATTTATGTATTTATTTTATGTATAGGAGTACACTGTAGCTATCTTTAGATACACCAGAAGAAGGCATCTGATCCCATTACAGAGCCACCATGTGCCTGCTGGAATTGAACTCAGGACCTCTGGAAGAGCAGTCAGTGTTCTTAACCGCTGAGCCATCTCACTAACCCCCTTATTTCTTGTTTTTAAGTCTCTGGTTTTATGAAACTTTTAGTAAGACCCACCAATAGTGAAACAAAACAACAATGTATCAACCCCACAGTTTTATTTGTAAAGAACAAAGCATGAAAAGTCATATTTAAATGTACTCCAAAACCTGAAAACCCATGTCAGTTTGTCTGATATGTTAAAGTGCTTAACGTCACAATACTCTTCAGATTTTATATTATGTTCCGATGGGGTAGGGGAGAAAACTCCAGTTCTGACATACATTGTTAATAATACAAAGGAAAACTGTATAATTTAAATGCAGAAATAATAATTAAAAACAAAACCAACAACAACAACAAAAACATAGGCTATCTTTCTATGTGGCTCAAGTGTAGCATAAGAGTGTTTTCTGTTTTACACCCTCATTTGACTGACAACAGAAACACCTTATTATCCATGTCAATATTTGTTTAAAATGCATCCAACCCACAAGTAATTGTGGATCCAACCCACAAGTAATTGGACCAAGCATGGCTACTTCCTAAATAGCTAAGGATATTGCAGAACCCTCTCAAAGAGGGGGGAAGTTTATTTGATGAACTTTTCTTCAGTCTGATATAAATATGAACATCTCAGTGTGTCTTCCTGAAATTAATTTTTGATCTTATCATTGAGAGAGAGAGGGAGAGGGAGAGGGAGAGAGAGAGATATCAGATTTGGGGGAGCTATAATCATCCTTGAGTTTATTCTCTCTTGCTGGGGTGCTGCTCAGGGCCTTGTGTAAGTATGTTGGGCACAGGTAACACCGAGCTCCACTCTAGCCCCTCCTTGGATTCCTATTATCACACAGCAAAAGCAAACCTCTTTAAAAAGCTTAACTGTCCATGTGATCCAGCAAATTTGTATATGTATAAAAATTAGGGACATAAGTTACTTTCTTTTTGTCTCCCAGTTATACTAAATGATAATGCAAAAAAGTTACATTAAGAAACAAAGATTTCTAAAGACACAGATGCTTGCCAGGTGTGGTGGTACATGCCTTTGATTCCAGCACTTGGGAGGTAGAGGCAGGTGGATGTCTGTGAGTTCAAGGCCAGCCTGGTAGGTCTGCAGAGTGAATTCTAGATTAGCTAAAGTTATGTAAAAAGACTCCTCCTTAAAAAAACCAAAACCAAACAAACAAAAGACACAGAGGCTTAGACTCTATTAAAGCAGTAGAGTGCTCCATTGTCAATCAATAAAGGTGTGTTAATACTGAAATATATAAGTTCAGAATGCCCTTTCAACACCATGAAAAGAGTAGACCAGCTTCTGTAAACTTCAGAGAAAACACAATTTCCTAAATGAATACTCTATTGAAGAGCCATTATTCTTAGAAGATATTTCACATTATAAAGAACTCTATTCTCAATGCTGTCAAATATTTCCCTGGGGATCTGATGGCCTTGTCTACTACTTCCTATTTGGGAGATATTGACACACGTTAGACACAAGGTGCTATGTAATCTTAACCTGCTTTTCATTACATTTATACATGTGCTTATTGTCAGAAAAGGAAGAAGCAAATTTTATTACTCATACAGTGTTATAGAAGTTCATCAAAACAAAATTTTAAAAAGTCATGTTAAATAAATCCCACAGAGCTAGAAAGGGTGTACAATAGATACGAACGTTTAAAATAAATTTCAGATGAAATTCAACCGTTGCAAATTTTAGGTTTCCTCTATCAGATTTTCATTCCCAGTGGGAAACAGGGCCAGGTGAGGGGTCTTCACTTGTTTCTGGCAGCCTGCTTTCTGACTCACAACTCCACCTCACATGGAGAAGCTCAGTCACTGTGAGGTACTAAGGTACTTTCCTCCTAAAGCATGAAGAGCTTCTCATATATAATACACAAGCCACTGTAAGGCCACCGGAAAGGTGACATGAAGGTTAAGATTAGAGATTTTAGTATTCAAAAAAAATACTTGGAGAGTAAGCTTTTGAAGAAGTTAAAATTTTGGCAATTTTATTTGTGCCTGCTGAGGACAGAACCCAGGGGTTTGTACGTGCTACACAGGCACCCTACCACTGAGCAACACCCTTAACCACTGCACATTTAATAATACTTTTAAAAAAAAGATTTATTTTGTGAGTGTTTTGCCTACATGTATGTATGTTCACTATGCTGGGTGCCCAAGGAGGTTAGAAGAGCATGTCAGATCCTTTGGAACTGTAGTAACAGGTGGGTGTGAGCCACCATGTGGGTGCTGGCCACTGAACCTGGGTCCTCTTCGAGAACAGCCAGTGCTCTTAACTGCTTAGCCATCGCTCCTTGCCAATTTAGCTTTAAAATGATTTATTTTAAAGTTACTATGTTGGATATTAATTTTGGTCCCAGGTATTTGTGGTAAATTTATTTGCACAAACACATACAAACAAGAAAAAAGTCAGCTTGTATGGTTATATGCATTCGTTTTGAGCAATGTGCTATGGTTGTGATATACTTTTCTTTTTTTTTTTTTTGTTTTTTCGAGACAGGGTTTCTCTGTGTAGCCCTTCCTGTCCTGGAACTCACTCTGTAGACCAGGCTGTCCTGGAACTCAGAAATCTGCCTGCCTCTTCCTCCCAAGTGCTGGGATTAAAGGCGTGCGCAACCACCGCACGGCGTGATATACTTTTCATATTGATTCAGTTTGTTATAGGTCACATGAGAAATCTTACTTCTTTATCATTTGCAATAGGTAACCCCAAATTCAGTGGAAACATTTTTCTTTTTTTACCATATCCTAAGGTCTTTACGGTGTTTCTACATATTAAATTTATTCTGTAAGGCTGAGCTTTATCACCAGCGGGAAATTTAAAGGAATGGGCTATGGAAGCTCCCACGAGGCCCAGCTGTCTGATTAGATTCTATAACAAGGCGTAAGGCTAGCTAGCCTCTGAGACAATGCTTGGTGGTTTTAACCAGCCATTTCACAATTCCATCCAAGGATATCACATGGAAGAAAACTTTATAGGTAACTTTTTTTTGGGGGGGGGGGGTGCTGCTTTTTAAGTAATAGTTTTAAACTCAAGCTAGATTACAACTCTGCTCCCACTTTTAGCAATAGATGTAATGCCTAAGAGGTTGAGAACAGTTTGCTGGGCTGGGCACTCACATGAATCCCCTCACTTAGGAGGTAGATCTCTGAGTTCCAGGTGAGCCTGGTCTACAAATGGAGTTCCAGGGCCAGTCAGGGATATACAGTGAGAGAGATCCTGTTTCAAAAACAAAACAACAAAACAATGTAACTTAAGCTTCAGTCCTTATTAAGTATCACAGAAATACAGCTTCCTATCTGTACAGGTGGTTGAAGATTCAACAGGAGAAATGCTACTGAGTAAGAAGTCTCGAAGGTTGGTTTCATGCACTCAGATGTGGTAAAAAGCGTAAATTCTAAACCCTGGGTTGTCAAGAGGGAGAGGGCAACAATACAATCTCTTTTTAAGTGTTCTACTTTCATCTATAAAATGAAGAGGCTGCACTAATGACTCAGCTGTGGAATATTGACTTCATAGTCCAGAGTGCTCAGTATCTGGATGGCCCTGCCGGAGAAGACTACCATAAAACCCTGGGATGGACCGTATCTAATGTCTGGATGTTTCCCAAAGTATATCTGTCTCTAGAATAGTCTCATAACACCCTTATTTTAGGTAAACAAACCTTTGGGTTACCCAGGTCATCTAGAGACATGTTCTAAGACCTTTCTTTCCACGGGTTTGCAAATGTACCCTCAGCAACCCTTTTCTTCATAGTACTAGGTGCCGTTCCTTGGCTGAATAGTTTCTGATAAAGGGCACGAGGCACTTCATCTATTAGTCTTTTCCTCCAGTAAATAAGGAAAGCAGCACTGCTGGCAAGAGCCCAGGGCCCTGAGATTGCACATGGATCCTGAGAGGCCATGGCTCGGGTTTTCAGCTACAACAGGGAATAAAACCTGGAGCTCTGCTGAGGCAATTTTGCTACTAACAAGGTATCAGTGCCTAATTAGAGTTCCACAACTTACTTACCAAAAGATAAAAGATTTATGTAGTTGCTAACATATTTATTTAGCTTAAGAAAATAAATAAGCTATCAAACCAGAAAGGTATAGCTTCATGGCTTCCTAAATCGTGTGTCAAATTCACTTCTCAGTCTGCACTACAGTGGCTTTTAACTTCTCTGGGCCAATTGCTTTACATTTCCCTGAAACGCCCAGAAAGGCTTCATTCTTTCTCTCGGCTTCTGTTATTTGCATTATCACGGTCAACAAATACCTTCACAAAAGCATTCCAAATCGCAGAGACCTCCTCCTTCTTCCACATTCCTTCCATCTCCTGAGAGGGGGGATGGGGAGTGGCTGGAACCTAACAAAGACTGGGCTGGTGGTTTAACTCCAGTCATAGAGTTTAGATGGCCAAGTTTGAAGTTCTGAGTCACACTGTTTCTTGCAGTTATGGCTATATGAATGATACTAAAATTCATTATCTCAAATAACAGTCAAAGAACAGTAATAGAAATTCTAAGAACGGAGCCTCCGGGCTAGTGCTAATCTTTCTAAAGTAAAGTTAAAATCCCATGCTTCTCAGGGTTTCTTGTGTTTGCTTTCCAATTAGCCAAGCTCTTGGGATCTGGTATTTGCCCCCCCCCACCCCTTTGTGTGTGTGTTGAGATAGGGTCTTGCTATGTAGCTCTGTCTGGCCTACAACTCAGATGCACCTGCACCTGCCTCCCTAGTGCTGGGATTAAAGGTGTGAGCCACCAAGCCTTGCTAGGGTCTGATCTTTAAAATTCTTTTATTATATTGTTTCCTTGTGCCAACTGAAAAACTTTCCCAAAACTAGAAAAATGACTCATAATTCAAATGTACTTAATGGTTTATAACTTAAAAGGAACAATGGGGACTGCTGTACATTATGTAAAGCTGTATACATTCACCACACACAGGATGAGACTCCAGGAGGAATGGCTGCTTCAGAACAAAGCATTCTGGTTCCTTTGTGAGACCTGGAGGTTAAAAGAAGCCTGCCTGGGTTGCACTATTTACACATTTACTGGCTTCTTCCTGACTAGCACCGCTTTCCCCGCCCCCAACATTTTTAAACTACTTATTTTAAGTCACAGGAATATTCAATCTAAGAAAAGTATCTTATTAGAGTAATATAATTTCTTAAAGATAGCATATTTACACACTTCTAACACATGAAAATACTCTATTTTATACTAAATTTCAGGTTCAAATGAACTACAATACAGCACTTTGCCTTGTCTGCAGAGTGGACACTGTTCAAACTGGGGCTTCTGGTGCACTGCCCTGGCAGTGCTCACTATGGTCAGACCGGTTCAGATTGGTCCCCATAGTTGAGGAAGCTTCAGGAGCCAGGAGTAGATGAAGAGTTTCTGCCGGCTGCTTTACACATCCACTCCTTTGATTAGCGATCCTTCCAACACTATGGTGAAATCCTGAATGGTCTGCAGGATTCGGATAAGGGAGTTGACAGTCATGTGGTCTCGAAGCAGTGCATTCTCTTCATACATTCGGGTGATGGCAGGACATTCTGCTAGCAATGGAATCCACTGTGGGAGCAGGTGATCCCTACAGACCAAACAGACACAGCATCTGAGCTCTAACAGATACAGTGTAACCGGCTCTTCCTTGTGTCTTTCCCTTTAATTATTAGCCTACTGAAACAATACTACAACAAATTAAAAGATCTCCTAGGAGCAGCTGTGGTGGCATATGCCTGTTTAGTCCAGACACTTGGGAAGCAGAGGCAGGCAGATCTCTGTGAGTTTGAGGCCAGCCTTATCTATACGAGTTCCAGGCTAGTCAGACCTAATAGTGACACCTTATCTCAACATAAAGTAAAAGTTCCCCCAAGAAATGTTCTCCTGAGAGAAGGCGGAAATCTTGGGCTCAGTCAGAGGAAGAGCTATCCCAGAAAAAAAAAAAAAAAAGAAAGAAAGAAAAACTTACAACTTGTAACTTGAGACCTTGCAGGAGAGACTTGGAGTTTAGACAAGGAGAGGTGGGACCACACCCTGGTGGGATTACTTTTGTTTCCTATTCAATCCTGTTCCTCATATCAAGGCCCTAGGATGACTGGACGTATATACTTCTATCTCTCTTTCCAATATGGCCACATTGAATAAACCTCCCTTTCTGCTTCTCACTATGCCTTTTAAACTTTAAATTCTCTTTATGCGTGTGTGATTGTGTTAGTGTGTGCCATGTGCATATTGTGCCTATGGAAGCCATTAGTGGGGCCTCACCCCAAGGAGCTAGAGTTACTGGGTTATTTGCTGCCTGATGTGGCTAATGGGAACTGAACTTGGGTCTTCTTGAAGAGCAGTGCTTTTAAACTGCTGAGCCATCTCTCCAGCTCCCGCTTTTCACTATTAATTAGGCTCTTTTACTTGGCTTAATCAGGACAGGTGGCTGAACCTGGCTTGTTCTGGCACAAGCTATGATCCACAGGTTAGGCAAAAACAGCATACAATGTACACATAATAGTATACTCAATTGGGAGGTAGGATGGTTTACAACCCATCCTTGTTCTGTGTTAATGTTAGCACACTCAGTGAGTTTATGTAAAAGGGAGTACTGGACAACTGGTACTCCACCATCCTGCCTGCCTGGGAGTCAGAGAGCCTAGCTGCAGGCTTGTGATGTAAAAACTTGCTCATTCTCAGAAAGGTACATTAGAACATACTTGTACCATGTAGGTTCTGATTCTTCTCTTCAGAGACCCTGGTACAAGGGCCTGAACTCTCCTTGCCCGCTCTTTCTCCATGTTGTTGCTTCTTTTGCCTGTCCACTACGTAAATGTTAGGTCTCACTCAGTATCTGTGACTTCTCCCAGTACTTCTCATCTCGCCCCTCTCCCAGGGGTAGGCTTCCCTGGTCCGATTAGTAGTTATAACTCATCAGTTGACTAGGCAGGTCTTTTGGCCCAGGCTGCTTCTCTTGGTCAGTGTCTCTCCTTTCCTACCCCATGTTCTTCCCTCTGCCTGCTTTCTCCCTTGTCTCTACAATAAGAATCTTCCCCATACTTTAGGAGAGTGATGTCGTCCTCCTATTTCATTTTTTCATTCAGTTTAACTACTTGGCTTTTAACTCAGGACCCATCAACTCCTCCTGAGTAAGTGCTGGCTAGGCAAGCATTTTCTGCTGAGAAATTCATCCCTCTGCCTTTTTTTGTCTATTTAGTTTTTTCTGTTTTTGAAATCGGGTCTCCTCATTTAGCTCATTCTGGCATCAGATTTTCCCAGAATAATGAGGGTGGTTAGTGAATGAGTTAAAGGCAGACTTTCAGGACTTCAAAGTTAAATAGCAGTTTATTTCCTTCAATTTTTTTTTAAAAGATTTATTTATTTTTATGAGTACACTGTAGCCCTCCACAGACACACCAGAAGAGGGCATGGCATCCTGTTACAGATCGTTGTGAGCCACCATGTGGTTGCTGGGAACTGAACTCAGGATCTCTAGAAGAGCAGTCAGTGCTCTTAACTGCTTGAGCCATCTCTCCAGCACCTCCTTTAATTTTTTTATATTATTATTATTATTATAAATATTTTGGGTGGTGCTAGGGGTAGAACCTCATGGTCTTTTGCACTCTGGACAAGTACTCTACCACTGATTTATGTCCCAAGTTTGTTAAAAACCAAAAAAAAACAAAACAAACAAAGCAAACCAAGGCTGGCAAGATGGATCAGTTGGGAAAAGGTGCTTGCTGCCGAGTATGATGACTTGAGTTTGAACCCTGGTTTTCACAGAGATTCTTAAAAAGTCTCCTCTGACCTCCACATAGATGTCCTGGCATGCCTCCAACCTTCTTTCCCCTAAACTTATACTAATTAGATAAATCAATAAATGCAATTAATAGCATTTGATAAATCAGATACAGCCAGGTGGTAGTAGCACATGCTTTTACTCCCAGCACTCAGGAGGCAGAGGCAGGAGGATCTCTGAGTTTGAGACCAGCCTGGTCTACAGAGGGAGTTCCAGGACAGCCAAGGATAGACAGAGAAACTCTGTCTTGAAAAAACAAAAACAAACTGCCGGGCAGTGGTGGCGCATGCCTTTGATCCCAGCACTTGGGAGGCAGAGGCAGGTGGATCTCTGAGTTTGAGGCCAGTCTGGTCTACAGAGTGAGTTCCAGGACAGCCAGAATTATATAGAGAAACCCTAACTTGAAAAAACCAACAAAACAAAACAAAACAAATCAAATCAAAACAAAACAAAACAAGACAAAAAAAACCCCGTTTCTTAGAAAGTTTTGAAATGGACCTTGAGACCCACTGAAGGGATGCACATGGCTAACACTGTGATCATTATTTGTAGCTTTTCCCGGAGAAGCCTGAAACCCGTGCCCATACTGGGTACTCTTTATTTCTACTATGCTCCCCTGAGGAGCCCATACTCACAGGCAGGTATATCTCACTTAAGTGCATCTCCTTCTTTTTTGTTTAAGGTGTATATTAAGATATCTTTTTTTTTTGAAAATGCTTTCTTTTTAAAATTATTTTAATTTTTATTAAATTTATTTATTCTTCCCTACACCTCCCTTCTTTCCCTGCTCTTTCTTCAAGTGCTGCGGACTGAGTCTAGGTCCTTGTGTGCACTGGTTAAGGGCTCTAGATGAAGCCACATCTCCAGTCCTTTTTTCAGTATTTTGAGACAATGTCTCACTAAATTCCCTAGTCTAATTTTAAACTTGCTCTGTAGCCAAAGGAAGCCCTACCGGGACTTGTCTGTCTTTGCCTCCTAAAGAGCTGGGATTACAGACCCTAAGGAATGGCTGTTTTCTTACTATATGATTGTGGGACTAGTTTGTTGATATATTTAGGACTCATCTATTTCCTATTTTCTCACTTATAAAATGGGCACATGATGGCTGGAGAGATGGGTCAGTGTTTAGTAGCACTTTATGCTTTTGCAGATCTGGGTTCGTTTTTCCAGGACCTAGTTCTTCTAGTCTCTGCAGGCATCTAACACTTAGCACATACATACATCCATGGAAAAACATTTATTTATCCGTCTGTTTGTTTGTTTTTGGCTTTGAGAGGCAGGGTTTCTCTCTGTAGCCCTGGTATCCAGAATGCAATTTGTAGACCAGGTTGGCCTTCAACTGATGATCTGCATTTCTCTGCTTCTTTAGTTCTGGGATTAATGGTGTGAACCACCACTCCTGACAAGGCAAAACATTTATACACAAAATAAAAACACAGAAATCTATTTTAAACATGAGTAAATCAGGGGCTGGAGAGATGGCTCAGTGGTTAAGAGCACTGATTGCTCTTCCAGAGATCCTGAGTTCAATTCTCAGCAACCACATGGTGGCTCACAACCATCTGTACTGGGATCTGATGCTCTCTTCTGGTGTGTCTGAAGACAGCTACAGTGTACTCATGAACATAAAATAAATCTTAAAAATAAATAAAATGGTGAATCAGTTGCTACTGTAATAGAAAGGCACTAAGAAAACAGCAGTCTTTTATATTCTTATAAAAATTGGAATGAAGAAAGCCAAGAGAAAAGGGCATAACCTGGTCTAACCTTTCCTAGACTCATGTTACCCACATAACAAAAATAAGTCTGTACCTTGTTCCCAGGCAAACTAGAATTTGGAATTTGCCGTCCTTCCCAATGTTTCTGGGTGCAGTATTAATAGCATTCACGTAGTGGCAGAAGGTTTTGCATGATGGTTTCTGAATGAGCGCGTCATCTTCGTTGTCTAAAATCTGGTCAGTGGTTTCAAAATAACCCACTGCTTTCTCTGAGGAAGAAAAGCAGAATCACACCACAGTACAACAGTTATTTATAGAAATGTCAAAACTTTGTATGTAGTGAAAGTCATCATCTAATTTATTCTGGAAACTCTATTGAAGCTTGGCATCATAGCCTGTCCTCTAACCCACACCATTCCTTTTTTACTTATTTCAGAATGAATTACCAAGATCTGAACAGTAAGCTCCCTGGTATGAGGATTAAAGGCAGGTGCCACCACAGCCTGGAGGAATTTATATTCTAATCAAGACCACATAACAGAAGTTTGGAAAGTTTGTTCTTTTCAAATATTTTCATGAAATAGAAATTGGCATGAAAAAGGAAAAGAATTAAAAATAAAAAAAAAAGAAAAGGAAAGAAAAAAGAAGAAAGAAGAATGAAAAGGAAGGAAAGGAGAACTGTCTTCTAGTTGACCCTTCCAGGAATAAGAACACCATGGCCATCTGACCACTAAAGTGGTGCCCTCATCTTGGATGGCTGCCTTAATTAAGATTATTAAATGGACCTAAACAGACATTATGAGTGAACCTGAGGAGAGAGACATAGGCTGTAGACATCAGAGTCAGGAGCAGTAAAATTCTAAGGTTTTTAGAAAAGGGGGTGCATTGGAAACTTTCCTTTCTTTGCTAGAAAACTCTGATCTGAGTTCATGTTGGCCTAATTTACAAACACAAAATGATTCATCAGACCGTTAAAGAAACTGGGAGTTCTAGAATTCTATATACCTAAAGACAACCAAACCAAACCAACCAACCAGCCAACCAACCACACAAGCAAGCAAGCAAGCAAACAAACAAACAAAACCAACCAAAACAAAAAACCTACCAAAACAAAACAAACGAAAAAAAAAATCCAACCAGAAAAACAAACAACAACAACAAAAAAACCCACAAAACTTAGCATGATTTTTAAAAAAGATTTATTTTTGACCAAAATAATATCTTTATTTTATGTGTATGACAGTTTTGCCTGCCTGTCTGTCTGTCTGTCTACTATGGGACTGCAGTGCCTTCAGATGCAAGCACAGCACACCAGATCCTTTGGAGAGTTAAAGAGAATTGTGCGCCATCATGTGGATGCTGGGTACTGAATGCAGGTCCTCTGGAAAAGAAGCATGTGCCCTCAACTAATGCGCCATCACTACAGATCTCTATTTTATTTTATTAAATACTTGTTTTGTATGTGTATGTGTGGGGACAACTTGTAGGAGTCAGTTCTCTCCTTCTACCTTGTAGGTCCCTGGGATCAAACTCAGTATTTTTTGAGCCCTCAGCAGCCCAAAACATAACTTTTCTCTTCTTTTCTTTCTTTCGTTTTTTAAAGATATGGTTTCTCTGTGTAGCCCTGGATGTAGACCAAACTGGCTTCAAACTCAGAGATCTACCTGCTTCTGCCTCCTGAGTCCTGGGATTAAAGGTGTTTGCTACCACCACCTGGCTTATTACTACTTTTTATTCATTCAAAATTTTGGCTTCTCAAGTTTTTAAAGAAACAGTTCAGTGGCTTTATAATAACATGCGTCTACTGAATTTACCTACGAAGTCCCAGATGAAGACATTCTTGTGAAAGATTCGGGCAGATTTGAACCCATGATGGAAAACTTGTTCAAGCGCAGCAACCAGGCCATTTTCTCCACACAGGAGCCCTGTGAGGCTTCCTCTCTGTAAAGCACAACGTTAACATAGTGTCAAGGGGTTCTGTTGTTTCTATGCTTAAAAAAAAAAAAACACTTGATGGGCTGGAGAGATGGCTCAGTGGTAAAGAGCACTGGCTGTTCTTCCAGAGGACATGGTTTGGTTCCTGGTACCCACACTATGGCTCACAACCACTCTTAGCTGTAGTTCCAGGGGATCCAATGCCCTCTTCCACCTTTCTAGGCACAAGGCATACATGTGGTGTACAGAGATACAAGCAGGCAAAACACTCAAACATATAAAATAAAGTAATTCACCCCCCCCCCACCCGCAGCCCCCCCCCACCCCCCACCCCACTGGCAAATAACAACCACACTAGAGAATCAAAGAGCTGAGGGTAGCTGAACAGATCATATTTTTGTAGCCATCAGCAGGCTTCCAAATGAGCCCAGTGGTGGTGGTGCACACCCTTAATCCCAGCACAGTTTGAGGCTAGGCTGGTCTACACAGGAAGTTCTAGGACAGTTAGGGGTACATAAAAAAAAAAAAAACTGTTTTTGGGGGAAAAAATAAAGTCCCACCACATAGTTTTATTGCCCACAATACCTCTTTTTCAGGTTTGTGAAAATGCTTCACAATATTGTTCACAGCTTCTCCAATTCCTTCTTGGATCTGTCCAGCATTGGGTTCTGTAAAATAATTAACAGTGTCTACATCTTGGTGAAACATAAAAAGCCAACATACTATGGGATGTTCAACTGTAAGTCTCTGTGGGAAACATTCATCCAAGCAAGCTACCTTTTCCAGAGATTTCATGGAGTTTGCCACTGGACAAACCCGCCAAGCCCAAGGCTTGTGATGCACTGGAAAAGAATTCAAGAGATCCTGAGACTCAACTCCCAGCCACACTCCCTGCAAACTACAACCCAAGCCAGATGTCTAATTTCCTCTGGTTTTTCTCAACTGAAATGGAAACACAAAACAAAACAAAAACAAAGAAAAAACAAAAAAAGACAAAAAACAAACAAACAAACAAACAAACAAAAAACATTCCTCAGGCAGGTTCCTATCATGAAGTGCCAGTACTCTGGATTTGAGGGGTGAAGTGGGAAGACTCTCTTTATCTCTTTATCGTTACTTGGAGGTTCCCTGCCAAGACTCTTGGTGGGTGTATGCTAAGGCATCTGGGGCTCTCAAGGACCTGTGTGAAGCCCTGCTGCTGTGATTAAAGGAAAGAGGCTAGACAGATACTATTCGGTGCCCTGGCCAGAAGTCAGGCTTTCTTCCCTTCTCCATTCCTGCAGTGACCACTTGTTTGTTCACCATTGCCTCTTTCTAGACAGCTTGGTGGGCCGCCTGAATGGGACCTGAACCTTGGTGGTGGTTTGAATGAGAATGATCCCCCCGACCCCCAGTCTTGCAGGCTTGAATGCTTGGTCCCAGTTGGTAGAATTGGGAAGGATTAGGAGGTATGGCCTTGTTGAAGCAGGTATGTCACATTGGGAGAAATTTTAGGTATCGAAAGCCTACACCATTTCTAGTTACAGCCCCTACCTCTGCCTCAAGATTGTGGTTCAAGGTACAAGCTTTCATCTATTGCTTCAGTGTCATGCCTGCCTGCCTGCTGCCATGCTTCCTGCCAGATGGCCATGACCTCACCCTCTGAAACTATCAATCCCAAATTAAACAAACACTTTCTTTTAGAACTGCCCTTGGCCATGGGGTTTTAATCACAGCAACAGAAAAGTAACTTAAGACAAAGGCACCTTGCCTACCACATATTAAGACTAGCAAATTCATTTTTAGGGTCTTATGTGGTCCCAGCTGACATCAAACTATGAATTTGAGGATGGCCTTGTACTTCTAATCCTATTTTGACACCTTAAACAGGAGTGACCATGCTTGGTTTATGTGGTGCTGATAGCTGAACCAAGAACTTCCTTTTTGCCAAACTCACTACCAACAGAGGTACTACCTCCAAGTAATGGTTTGGGTTAGGGTAGCCTCCATAGGCTCACACACTGAAATGTCTGGTTCCCAGCAGGGGTCTGTTTATGAAGGAGGTGTGGCACTGTTAGAGAAGGTATGCCACTGAAGATGGGCTCTGAGGTTTCAAAGATTGATTATTTATTTATGGGTGTTCTGTCTGCATATACATCTTGATTATTTATTTATGGGTGTTCTGTCTGCATATACATCTGTAATCAGAAGAAGGCATCAGATCTCATGGGACTACAGTTATAGATGGCTGTAAGAAACCATGTAGGATCTGGGAATTGAACTCAGGACCTCTGGTAGAATAGCCAGTGCTCTTAACCACTGAGCCATCTCTCCAGCCCCAAGGGTTTTGTGGTTTCAAAAGCCTGTGCTAGACCCAGTTTCTCTTTCTTTCTGTCTCCATTTTGTGGATCAGATATGAGGTCTCAGTTGCTACTCCAGTGCCATGCCTGCCAGCCTGCCACTACGATGATCATGAACTAATCCTCTCAAAATGTAAGCAAGGCCCCAATTAAATGCTTTTTCTTTTTTCTTTTTCCCACAGGGTTTCTCTGTGTAGTCCTGATTGTCCTGGAACTTGCTCTGTAGACCAGGCTATCCTCAAGCTCAGAGATTCTCTTGCCTCTGTCTCCCAAATGTTGGGATTAAAGTATATGAGCCATTTTACTGCCTGGCTTAAATACTTTTTCTATAAATTGCTTAGGTCATGGTGTTCTGTCATGGTAATAGAACAAGCAGTAACTAAGACAACACCCCCCTGCCCCAACCTCAAGAATAGTTTTAAAATAAAAAAAAAAGTAAGCAAATTTTACCTAGAGTCAGAAGTAGAAATAGGTAATAAGAGGAAAACGGGGTGTGTATGGGCTGGGTGTGGTAGTGTACAACTTTAATGCTAGCACTTGGAAGGCAGAGGCAAAGGTAGACAGATCTTTGTGAGTTCAAGGGCAACCTGGTCTACATAGTGAATTTCAGATTACTTGGGTACAGAGAGACCCTGGCACAAAGCAAAGCAAAGCAAAGCAAAGCAAAGCAAAGCAAAGCAAAGCA